TAAAAAAGTTTAAGTCCTACATTGGGAAAGTCATTATGTTTTAGTCCTATTTAGTGCAAATTTTACTTTGGAATAAGAAGCCAACAATCATTTAACTCCTCTCGCAATCCCATCTGGCAGCTGGGAGTGCCTGAGGTGAGTGGTTTCACATTTTGGAATAAGAGGAGTAATGTTGAAATGTTAGTTTTGTGAGTTAATCACCTCGAGGTGAAATATGTCCAAATGCGCATTTGGACATATTTCACTTCTTCTTTTTTCGGTGTGGGACAACATCGTTCCAACAAGTAGTAGACCGGGTTTGGGGGCATTGCTCCCAGTTCAATTTCTTAAAGATTAATTTTTAATTTAATGATGAAGAATGACTAGACTTATTTTTAAACAAGCATTTAAGTCAGTAAAATTATTACATATTTTTAATGTAGAAAAATATAATATTTTGTATGAACAAGTATTTAAGTCATAATCTAATAGTTTCTCCATCCCTGAAAACTTTTATCTTTTCTTTTTTTCATCCATCTTAAAAAAGTCTTCTCGTTTCTATAAAAAAGTCACTTTTATCCTTACTAATTTTTAATCTACCATGCTACACTTATACCAAAAAATATACCCCACTTGTACACCACAGTTTTGCACAAACATTTTGATGGTTTACACTGACACAAGTGTTGGTGCGTTAACAAAAATTTACACGGACACAAATGTTGGTGCGTTAACAAAAATTAGTTTTACACCAACACAAAATGTTAGTGCAAACCTGCGGGGTACAAATTGAGGTATAAATGTTGGGGTACACATAGCTTAATCCTTATTATTAATCTATCCATCAAATTCTACTTTTATCTATTATATCCAAAAACATTTTTGAAAACTCAATATCAAAATATACTCTTCTTAAATCGCTTAAAATTAAAATCTTTCATGTTTTTAGGGACGGAGTGAGTATTACTATTATATTTCAAATATTTTTTCTTTATTTTTTATTTAAAGTCCATAGATTATCTAGTTCAATTAAAGAACTTATAAAAATGCAGCTCCAATGTCTAAATCATTGGCGGTATATAAACTTTGACACAAACAAATGATTGAATGAATAACAAACCATTTTCCATATAGACGACTTGAATAAAGATTACTACTCCCTCCGTTCCACAAAACCCTTCCGGTTTTGACTTTGGGGAAAAATAAGGAAAGTGTAATTTTGGTTGACTTTCCGATTTTGCCCTTGATGTGATGGGAAAAAGTAAGATGTGATAGTTTGGTTATTAATGAAAAAGTATAATGTGATAGGTAGGGTATGAAAAAGTAGGGGTAAAAGTGGTTTTTTATTAGAAAGTGGAAGTGTTTTGTGGAAAGCAAAAAAAAACGAAAGAGGAAGAGTTTTGTGGAAGTGAGGGAGTAGTAGAAAAAAATGAATTTCTAGATAAATACCTTGACAAACTAGTTCACTAAAAAAACTATTATACTCCGTATTATTTCTATGTAATCTAAAACAATTCCGTCAATAATGAAATGAGACGACGGAAGTATCAGAATTAGATCACGGCAGTATGTTCCGAATAAGAAATCTTTCAAGAATAATTTGCACTGACAAATGATGATGTGTATCCAAAGCTCTTTTTAGGGTGAGCCAGCTAGCTCTCGACACCTAGCTCGTGGCGACGTACATTGCATGGGCATGCATGTTCTGTCTGCCGTGTAAAGAGCCGTCCATTCGCACATTTTTAGGTTTGGTTTTCATGTCAAGGTCACACGCACTTGTGTTTTTCATAACCATTTGTTATGGCGGGGTTTGAGCTACGACTTTATATGGTGCTACGTAAGTGTCCCACGATGGGATGCGTATGATGATTTTGAAGAAGAATTATTTTCATTAATTAAATTGTGTGAAGAATACATATGTATATATACAAAGGTCTCAATCTTAGTTATGGTAGGTGTGATATTCTAGGAAACCTTTACAAGTATGGTAACAATGATAATACAATAATATTAAATATATTTTATATATTTAACAGATTTGAGTGTAATATTCCCCCGCTAAAAAAAAAAAGTTTCTCGTTTTGACCTGATACAAAATTTACAGGAAATCAAAATATATAATTGAAAGTGATACATAAGAGAGAGAAATAGTGTACTAGCCACTCAAAATTTTTCTTGTGCACAAGGAAAGTACTCTCTCCGTTCCGGAGTATTCGTCCAGTTTTGACTTTTGGAACTGTTCATCTAAGCACTTTGACTCATCAAATTCTCTCAATGTGTAAGCCTAAATATAGTCATGTGTGATCTTGTTTGATTTGTCTTAACATATAGATTATTAATATATAATTTCTATAATTTTTTTAATATACAAATTACAAGATAAAATGGATTAAAGAAATGCATTGAGTGTTTTGTAAAAATGAAAGTAAACAAATACTCTGGGACAGAGGTAGTATATAGGGAGGCTAGTATATTCCATATAGACATAGTACTCCATAAAAAATTGTCACAAAACTACGGAGTAAATTAAAGTTGCTCCAAGCTAAGTCTGGAAAGGTAGGTAAGTATAGACCTGGCAAAACAGAACCGGAACTGATTACCCGAACCGAAATATCCGAAACCGAAACCGGAATGATCCGAAAAATGAAGATCCGATCTATAACCGAAAACCCGAAATGATCCGAACCGAACCGAAACCGAATTAAATAATTCATATCCGATTTAAATCCGAAACCGATAATATCCGAACCGATTAAACCCGAAACCGATTAGATCCGGACCCGATAATACCCGAAACCGATAAAATCCGAAACCGATTAGATCTGAAACCGGTAATATCCTAACTCGATTAGAACTAAAATCGATAAATTCAGAACTATGTTACCTTTCAATAAGCAAATTATATTTTTAAATTTTTACTTTTATTTTACCATTTAAACTAGTTACATTACTTGCTCATTCCCTCATAAAATGGATTATCTTTTTGAAAAAAAGTACAAATTTTTATGCCTTAAATTTATTATATGTAGAAATTAAAGATAAGTTATACATATAAATGATAACGCACAAACAAATAAAATTTCCGTAATTTTTAAATAGTGAAGTGTGATATTCTTTTTGGGACGAAAGGAATATATATATATATATGATGAATTGTATGGAATAATTAGATTTTATCCTAATTTCATCTCATTACAATAAATTTTATTGATTTGAGAGTTAATTTGATTAGTTTCAAACCAATTCACTCAATATTAGTCAATAAAATTAAATGTTAGTGTTAGCATTTTGAAAAGACTTTCTAGCGGCAGCCTTTACAGTTATCATTTTCAAATTTGATCTACACCATTACATTTAGGTGTAAAATTAATTATATTTGACTCGATTAAATTTAATTTTCTCTATTTTCAACCAAATTTACTCAACAATTTACAAATTTTGCACTCAATTGAATAAAATTCACTTAATTTCACCCAATTTTCCTCAATTTTTACCAAATTCTATTCAAATGGAACATAAGACTATTTGAATTTATCTTTTATCCTTTCATTTATATACATATAAGTATATTAGTAGATGTGAGAAAATTTTTATATTTCAAAACTAAATTTTAAAATCAATTTAATTATATTAAATTTATATCATAATTAAATATATATGTTTTCATAATTTGTAGTCCAACTTTGTAAAATATGACTAAAAAGTCAAAAGGGGAAAATTAGAAAATAATATATATCCAAAATATATTTGATCCGANCATAAGACTATTTGAATTTATCTTTTATCCTTTCATTTATATACATATAAGTATATTAGTAGATGTGAGAAAATTTTTATATTTCAAAACTAAATTTTAAAATCAATTTAATTATATTAAATTTATATCATAATTAAATATATATGTTTTCATAATTTGTAGTCCAACTTTGTAAAATATGACTAAAAAGTCAAAAGGGGAAAATTAGAAAATAATATATATCCAAAATATATTTGATCCGAAACCGAAATATATCCGAACCGAACTAGACCCAAAACCGAAATATATCCGACTCAAATTGTATCCGAACCGAAATCTATCCGAACCGATTTATAACCGAACCGTATCTGAACCGACTCGAAACCGAACCGAACCAAAAAAAGTATAGAACCGAAATCAAATCCGAACCGGAATTTAACCGATCCGAACCGAACCGAACCGATTATAACATATAACCGAAAGATATCCGAACCGGAAAAATCCAACCTGAAACCGATCCGGTTGATCCGATTTCCACCTCTAGGTAAGTAGGTATAGTAGGTTGGCTGTCGGGGCAAAAATGTCACTTTCACGCAAATAGTTCATCTTCTTTCTAAATCACTCTCTTCTTTTTCGGCAGAGACTCGATCAGTTAAATGGCAATTTCAAGAAAACCAAACTCTATTGTCTCATTCATTATTACTCCTATCACTCATTACTACATCACCACAAAAAAAGGGAGCAATACCGACAGGAGTCAATGTGTCGCTAAAGCTTGAATATCTGTCGCTATTCGCTTTTACCGACAGATATTTGTCTGTCGCTACGCTGTCGCTAAAAACTCCGTCAGTAAAAATATTACCGACAGATAAAATATACTGTCGCTAAAATAGTGTAATAGCGACAGACCAATGATGTCGCTAAAAAAGAGAGGAGTACCGACAAAACATATATGTCGCTAAAACATGGATTACCGACAAAAAATAGTGTGGGTAAATCCTTCTTTTTTGTCGGTAATAACTTGTTTTTACCAACATTAACATCTATCAAAACTGTCGCTAAAAGTTGGATTACCCACAAAAAATTGTGTAAGTAAAACATTTTTTCTGTCAGTAATAGTTTATTTGACCAACATTAACATTTATTAAAACTGGTACTAATACCATGTTTCACGCCAGCATGCTCTATTTAGGTTATTTCAAAAAATTTCAGTGACAAATAAAAAATAATACTTGTATTAACAACAATATATAATATGATAACATATTAAAGGGTTACAACTAACCCATTTATTAGAAAGTAAACCAACATCTCAAAATTAGTTAATCATTTGCGTTATAAACATAAAAGGAAATAAATTAAAATACACATTGATACGGAAGATATAGTCCAAAGCTTTAATGCTCGTCATGTCTACATCTTCAAGTTCATCGCTTTCAGCTTCATCATCTTTGTTCCATCAATCTTCATCAAGACTTTTCTCAGTGGTTGTATTACCATCCATTGTAAGGTCATCAATTTCAGATTGATTAGCCGTTGAACCCTATGCAAAAAAATTTATAAGAACATGATAACGTAATTACAAATTTTGCACTAAATTTACCTTACACTCATGCTAGGTGGCATAACTTTAAACTATATAATGAACTAAACAAAGAAAAAAAATCTCATTTGTTCCAATTCTCAAACGAAGAAAATAAAAACTTAAACATAGAGCAGACCACAGATAGGGATACATACCTCTATTACTCAACAAACAAGAAGGGAAGAAGTACTGCAGGGGTCTGTCTTAAGATCATCTCAGCGAAGAAGGCAGAATCACTGCAGCTTCGAACTGAAGTCGTGGACCCCTCTTCGATGTTATATATATACATGTTACACACTTCAAATATGCTATCTTCTTTCTTCTTTCTTTCTTCTTTTTTTATACTAGAAGAGCTTGCGTAGAGGAGCTATTTATATATAGCTATACAATAATTATTATGTCCAATTCCTCTTGGAGCGGAGTGGAGTCAGCTTGTCCTCCATTGAGCTGCACACCCAAACAATTTAATCTTCTTATTTGAGTTCCTAAACCTCCTTATTATATA